CCGGGGGCTTTCACGCCAGCAGGCTCGCTTGCATTTCCGCGCCTCCCGCTGAGGCCATCCGTGCAAATCTGCACCTCTCTCCCCACCCCCTCTTCTCGCCTTCCCTCCCGCCCTGCCCCGCCATCTCCGGGATGCGCCCGCCGCCAGCAACTCAGCCCTCCAAAAGTCAGCTCTGCACACAACTCCCGGGCGGCAGCGGCGCCTGCGTGCAGAGGCGCACTCGTGACCCAACAACAAAACAGCGATGCCAGGGTGCTAACGGCACCCGGTGCCTCTCGGGCTCCCTCCCCGCCCACACCTCCTCCGGCCGCCGTCCCCGACACCCCCTTCTCGAGCCCCCCCTTCCCAAGTAGCCGGGCCGCGGGCTCGGAGCGCGATCGGCAACAATGTTTACGTTCCGGGGATTATGACGTCGACGCCTCCCCCCCCACAACTGCTGAAAATGGTTTCCTAGGACTTTGCAAACGGATCTGCCTAAGTGTTGGTGCAAAACTTTGTAGATATCGGCTCTGGCTTGCTCTATTTATTTATTTTTTTGGTTTATTTTCTTTGGTCTTCCCTCCTTCCCCCCTCCGCCAAAATGCAGGGGGCAGGAGTGTTGACAATTAATTGGTGAACTCTCCTAAAAAAATGGAGGCAGAGAAAGACTCTGGAAGAAGATTGGTGTGTAGCTTTTTTTTTTCTCCCCCCAAACTGTATCTGGTATATGATCGTTTATTTTTTCGGTTGTTTCTTGCTGCCTTTCTTTTCTTTTCTGTATTTTTCAAGCGGACCGGAAAAAATAATAAATTGCATGCAAAAGGAAGCAAGCAGCTTACTCCTCCAGTCCCTTGTGAGGCTCAGGGTCTCAGACGCCTAAGTGGGGAGGGGATAGCGACGTGCTATCGTGGAGGGTGGCTGAGCTGGCTCGGGGTTCGCCGGGGATCTGGGGGGCTGCGGGGCCCGGCTCTGGGCGGCGGAGGGAGGAGGCAGGGGGATGCGGGGAGTGGTGGGGGAGTCTCCTTAGGAAGTGAGTGTGCGCGCGCGCTTGTGGGGAGATGAGGCAGCTGCTGGTGCGTTTGGGGGGGTCTCCGATGGGAGCTTTGTGGCGGGCCGGCTGCCTCTCACCCCCCAAGCCTTTACCCTCCTCCCCTGCCCCCCTCTTCTTGTCTTAGCGGTGGGGCGGCGGGGGCGGCTAGGGTCTCAGTCCTTCCATTTCGGCTTTCCAGCTTTCCTTATAGCTCGGGAGCGGCTCCAGCCTTAGAAATGCCGCCGGCCGGTTGTTCCGGCGTCCCCGCTTTGCTGCGGTGGCCGCCGGGGCTGCTGTTACTGCTGAGCCCGGCTCTATAGCGGCTTCTCTCGGGGCCTACATCTGCCCTCCAGCTCGTGCCCCGAGCCCCATTCGCGGGTTACATAACCAGGCTCCGGGTCCAGTGGGCAAAGCTCAGCTCATCACTGGGGTGGGGGCGAAGGAAATCCCCCAGATATCACTTCCATGGCTTCCAAAGATTCGGGAGGGGAGTGCTTCGCGTAGGGCGCCTCTGGGCCCTGGAGGTGCTGGCCCCTTTTCTGCTTTTCAGCATCTTTGGCATTTGCGCAAAGTTGCTCTTGCAATGGTGGGGTGCCGTGGACGCGCGGCTCCTGCACCTGTTCATGGTGGGCCCAGGGTGCGAGGAGACCCCAAGTCCTCTCAGTAATGTCCCGGGTTCTCTGGTTGGGTCTCCGCAGCGTCCGATTGACCGCCAGAGATACGACGAGAACGAGGACTTGTCGGACGTGGAGGAGATCGTCAGCGTCCGTGGCTTCAGCCTGGAGGAGAAGCTACGCAGCCAGCTGTACCAGGGGGACTTCGTGCATGCCATGGAGGGCAAAGGTGAGGTGCCCCCTCCCCGAACTGCACTCCGTGCTGCGGGCCACGCGCACGTGGGGAGGGAGCTGCTTGTAGCTGGGTTCGTATTTCGCGCCCGCGTCCCCCATTCCAGGGGATCCGGTGACGAAACGAGACCGTGCACTGGGGGGGTGGGGTGGGGTGGTGAGGGAGGAGGGCAGGCAGGAAGGGGGCCGGGCCTGGCGTGGGCCTAGGCCCTGCCTGTGCCCACCACCAGCACCGGGGTGATCTTTGCCAAAGGGCTAGCCGACCTAGAGGGACCCGGGGACAGTGGGACAGAGGAAGGGTGAGAGCGCAGCATCCTTCTCCTCCCCAGCCAGTCGCGCTGTTTGAGCTGCCAGAGGTGCAGCCGTCTGGCAGGAGCCTGGCTTCGGGCGCCTCTGGGACGTCTGGGTGAGGAGTTCTATGCTTGAAGCCTCCTAAACAAACCCCTGTTATTCTGGACCCAGACAGTTAGGAACTGGTGATGGGAGCGCCTTTGGTTGTTAGGGTTATGCCCCCTAGAACCTTGGGTGTGTGGAGCCACTTTCTTTCTCCCTTAGTGAGCCCTGCTGGATTGGAGCAGGGACCTAAGTGGGCTTTGAGTTGTTGGCACGAACCCCCCCTAAGCCTGACAACCACAACAGTTTGAATCCTGGAGTTTAGGTTATAGGGTGACTCCCGGTTCAGGCCTAAAGGTGAGATCACAGACCATGGCACTTTGAAGGGAAAACTTTGGGGGCTTCTCTTTGGAAACAGGGTCTCTTCCCATGCCTTAGGCTGAGAGCTCTGTCCCTTGTGGGAGACAGTGTAGAGCAGAAGTTGGGCAAGCTGGGGTTTTAGCGGGACCCCTTGGCCTTGGGTTTCTCTCCAGCTGTCCTACTGGGAATATGGCTGGGTGTATTTCCTTGATGTGGGGATGATGCTCTTGTTAGGGGTGAGGCTTTGGGAGCCTGAACCAATCAACAGTCTGGAAGCCCTGTGTGTGGCTTCTGGTCCCAGAACCCTCTTGGCCTGTGAGATTGGGGTTTGGGAGAGGCCTTCACTTACCCAGGCCTTCCCAGGAGTATGGGCTTTCCCCCTCCCACCCCTTAGATATTTGAGTCTTCTTTCAATTCCTCAGTTTCCATTTTGGGTTCCCCCTTCCCCCTTGGAAACCCCTGCCCTCGAAGTAAGCTGACAGCAGAAGTGAGTCCCCCCTCCGAGTTCTGGTTGAGTGGTTAGAGCCTGGAGTTAGCCCTGGAGGAGACTGTCGGGCTTTGCATTTTTGAAGTTTCTCTTTTGTGCTCATGCCTCTTGGGGCTTTGGGCTCTGGGCTCTGGGGGAGGAAAGAATTTCTTCCAAGAAATTTCACCCAAAAGCTGGGTGCCAGCCCCAACTGCATTTACATTTTCTCTGTATAAATGGGATTTTAATTCCTCTCCTTTTCTTCCCCCACTTTACTGAGTTTGGCAGAGGCTATGAGAAAACAATATGCAAACTCTCCTAGTCATTTGTCAGGAATCCTCAGCTCAGGATTTCAGAGCTTTTTCTCAGGCCCAGTTGAGGAAGCTGAAGCTGGGGGAGTGGGTGGTGGGTAACTGGGGGTGTGTGGGCAGGGAAGGTTACCAGCTAGGAATTCTAAAGGGCATCCTTAAAGCCTCTGTCCTGGCTCCTTTCAAAGGTGTTAAGGTTTTGCTCCTTAATGCAGATCTGGCCCCAAAACTGGAGGGAGGAGCTGAAAAACAGAAGAAACCCTTAGCTTCAATTCAAAATAGAAGCTTCTTAAACTTCTCTTCCTTTAAATCCGTAGGAATCCCCTCCCCATTCACTGGGAGCCCCTGGGGATCTGAGCCTCTGAGGTCAGGGCTTTCCCGGCTCTCGGTTTTGTTCTTTCTCTCTTCTGAGCCAGTTTCCTTGGCCTCCTCCCCCAAAGCTGCCCTGGTGAACTGTTTCCCTGAGGCCAAGAGGCTCCAGTGGTTCCAGGACTCCTCTCTTCTTTCTAATCAGCCAGAGAGGACCTGTGCCCTAGTACATTAGGGTTTGTTACCTGAGGATTTGGGAGACAGGAGGATGTATCTTGTTGGGTCAGAGCTACTGGTTTGGGAATTGAGGAAGAAAGAAACTAGTCAAAGGTGGAGGGGCTTTAGATAAGAATATGGGGGCAGTGTGTCTATCATACAAAACCCCAGATAGAAAACTGCTCTGTGAAAAAATTTGGGGTCGGGGGAGCTTTCTGTGCTGTCCTCAGTAGTCCACCCGGAACTCATCCCTTCCTGGTTATCCAACTGAAGCGAGTATTGTGATGGCTCCAGAAGAATTTCACTATAGGAAGACAACAAAGCTGTGCCCAGTTCCCTAGTTATTTTGGCACCAAATACACAGTTTCCAGGGAAACCGACTCCCCCCCCCTTCACCATGCAGGATATTACAATAAGATTTTCACTGATGCTCAGCTACAATGAGAGCCCTCCTCCCTAGCCTCTTCTTTGGGGCTTCAGATCCTCCCAGGTGGCATGCTTCAGTTTGCAGCCCCTTTACTATCTGAACTCAGCCTGGGATGTGCTTGTCTGTCTCTTTCTCAGCAGTAGCTGATGCTCTTTCAGTATAGGGCTCTTTATAAGTCTCCCTAGCTTGCCTTGGGCTGTTCATTGACAAGTTCATACCCGAGGGGCATGCAGAGAATGAGTGAGTAGGCAGAGAAGCCAATGGAGGGCATGGCTGATCTTTGGCTTTGCCTTATTTATCTCCTTGTTATTTTCCAGGGAATTTTTACTATATAGCTGGAGCCTACATTTAGCCTGTATGCCTTTGTCATTTTTATTTCCTTCACCAGTGGGTTGTGGTTCATTTTACTCCTCAATAACTTAACCAACTTGCTTTAATTCAAATATCCAAACAGATTTCAACTATGAGTACGTACAAAGAGAAGCTCTCAGGGTTCCCCTGGTATTTCGAGAAAAGGACGGACTAGGAATTAAGTAAGTCGCTGAAACAAATCTTCCTTTCCCTGGTCTTCCGAACAGTTTATGTGGCTTGGGGTGGGTTTCTTCTGCCCTCTCCGTACCACTCATTACCGTGAGGGAGCATTTCCTATGATCCAAGAACTTTTTCAAGGCCTGACCAAGGAGAAAAACTGTCCCCAAATGGATCTTTTTCAGGAATTTTGGAGAGAAGACAGGATATTTAAGCAGTATCCCCCACCTCCATTTCCATATAGCAACTTTCTACTGAGCGTTGTACCTCTCCTCCTCTCTTAAATCAGAATGTGGGTTGTAGAATGACTGGCCAGCCTGTAGGCCAGACCCAGGGCATTGGGACACGTGTGTTTTCCACATACCCCCACTGTGGGAGTTGGGTCTCTTTCAATAAAGGGCATGTTTCCTACCTTTCTCAGTCTGCCTCTGGCTTGCATTCTGGCTGAGATCTGCCAGCACTCCAGGTGGGGGAGAGATAGAGGCAGGCTGGAAGAACAGGTTCTCACCCCTTGGGCAGGATAGGAAAGGCATTTTAGGCTGCTGCTTGCTTGCTCAATTGACATTTTTAGAAGATGAGTGAAACTTTGAGCATATTTTTGCTTTCATTTATTTATTTTGAAATAGGATCTCACTATGTAGACCAGGCTGGCCTTGAACTCACAGAGATCCACCTGCCTCTGCCTCCCGAGTGCTGGGATTAAAGGCATGAGCCACCACCACCATGCCCAGCTATTTTGTTTTGTTTTATTGAGAGAGGATCTCAAGTAGTCTAGGCTGGCCTTAAACATAGCTATGGGGCTGGAGAGATGGCTCAGCGGTTAAGAACACTGGCTGTTCCTGCAGCAGATCCGGGTTCGAATCTCAGCACCCACATAGCAGCTAACTGTCTGTAACTCCAGTTCCAGGGGATCTGACAGCCTCTTCTGTTCTCGGGCGTTGCACAACACGCGTGCACTTACATACATGCAGGCATAACACTCATACACACAAAATAAAAATAAATGTTTAAAGAAAAAACATAGCTGTATGGAGGAGGATGACTTGAACTCTTGATCCTCTTGCCTCCATTTCCCAAGTACTGGAATATATAGGCATATGCTACCACACCTGGCTAGCATCTGTTAATTAATCACAAGTTTACCCACAGTCAGTGAAGGCATCATGCTGTGCCCTTTTGCCCCCCTTTATTTTTTTGGGGGGGGGAATTTTTGAAACAGGGTATCACTACATGGCCCAGGTGACCTGGAACTGCCAATCTTCCTGTTTCAGTCTCTTAAGTACGTCCCCTATGGTTATAAAGGGGTCCTTTCCACCTTCTATACAACTCTGTATGGAAAGTATTTCCTACAGGAAGAAAGAGCCATAAAGAGAGCTGCCAACCCTACTTAAAGCAGGCATTTTGTTCTTGACACCACACTTTAGTCTTCCTTGCAGGAGTGTGGTGTCACCCTCTCCTGAGGTTCAGCTTTGGTTTGTGTCTTGCAGTAGGGGAAGAGACTCCATGATGCTGGGTGATATCCCTTGAGGTATTACTGGTCTACCACTTTGCCTCTGGTTAGCTAATTTTTTATTCCCAAACTAAGAACAAAAGGACCCTTTTGGAGAAAAGGCTTCCCCTTAGGCTTAGGGTAGAGTCTAGCTCTGTTGTTTCTGTTTTTTTAACCAAATATCTATGCTTCTCTTTCTTCAGGATGCCGGACCCTGATTTTACAGTTCGAGATGTCAAACTCCTAGTGGGTAAGTGCTCTACGGTGGCTCAGAGATCCCAAAGCAGGAAGAAGGGGAGGGGACACCTTCACTACCTGCTCCTTTAGACTTTCAACTGCCTCAGAAAAGAATGTTCTCCCTGGCAGGAGGCTGGAGCAGGTGTGAGTTGCAACTGTCTCATTCTGGAGAACAGGTCAGATGGCAAAGTCCTGAGAAGCTATAACAGAGGGTGTTTGCCAAGACACAGTTTTGTGAGACTGATTTGGACCCAGTTTTCAGCTTGGGTGGCAGCAATGCGATATCAGATCTCTCCTTTGGGTTTGTTTGTGGGTTGCTGGGTAAACACTGGATGCTTCCTGACCTCTAAGACTTTCCTGTAGTCAGGGGAGGGATTATGCCTCCTGTTTCCTCAGGGTTCTAGAAAGGCCTTGGGTGGGGCTTGCCACTGTGCTCAGCAAATGCCTGTTAACTCTCTGAGCACCTGCAGCATGTGACTGGTGACTTGTGACTTAGCACTCACAACTCTCCACCAAGTGGCAAGTGGTATTTCAGCTCAAGTGGGAATTCCTTCAGTAATGCCTTTGACTATATGGTAGGCTGTGGATATGACTGACAAGGCCTCTGCCCTCTTATGTGAAGTAATAAAGAAGATAATAATGTATCTGTCCAATAGTGGAAAGGGCTTTGAAGAAGTAAAGCAGGGTAATGGATGGAGCATGAAAGGGCTGTGTTTTAGTCAGGGTGGTCAGGGAAGTCCTCTAAGAGGCTGAGAAGAAGCATTTGAGCAGAGGCTGGCCTCAAACTCACAGAGATCCCCCTGCCTCTGCCTCACAAGTGCTATGATTAAAGGCGTGTGCCACCACACCTGGCTTAAGTTCTTTTTTTTAAATGTGGTGTGTGTGTGTGCACCTTTGTGTGCAGGTACTTGCATGTAGGCCTCTCTGGAACTAGAGTTATAGGCAGTTGTGAGTCACATGATGTGGGTGCTGAGAACAAAATTTGGGTCCTATCCATAAGAGCAGCAAGTTCTCTTAATCACTGAGCCATCTCTCCAATTTCTACTTAGTGAGTTCCAGGCCAGCTGGGCTACAGGGAGACCCTGTCTCAAAAAGACCAAAAAAAAAAAAAAAAAAAACCTTAAAAAAAATTAGCCATAGGAAAGAACATTTTGAAATATTCTAGGCTGTGAGCTAAGCAAAGGAAAAGGCCAGCATATGAGGATAAATTTAATATTTGGAGAACCTGAGTGACTAAGAGGGAAAGGGGTAGAAGGGGCCACAGAGCCAGGTCATTGAGCCCAGAGGAAATTTGGATTTGACTCTTTCTTTTTCTTTTTTTTTTTTTTTTTTTTTTTTTGTCTTTTTTTAGACAGGGTCTCCCTGTAGTCCCAGCTGACCTGAACACACTATGTAGACCAGGCTGGCCTTGAACTCAGATCCGCCTGCCTCTGCCTTCTGAGTGCTGGGACTAAACGTGTGCACCACCACACCTGGTTGGGTTTGACTCTTTCATGTGATGAGACACCTTGGGCAGCTTAAAACTAAGGTGAGGGGTGGTAGCTATGTGATTTGAGTATTTTCTTAGGGGCTGACACTTTTTTTGTGGTACTGGAGTTTGAACCCAAGGCCTCACACATGCTAGGCAAGTGTTCTACCAACTGAGTTATATCCCCTGTTCAACATATTTTTTTTTTTTTAGTTGAAATAAAATTAACACTCTTCCCCCCTCATTTAATTAAAAAAAATATTTGTATTTGGTTTTTGGTTTTTTGGAGACAGGGTCTCCTAATTATAGCCCAGCTGGCCTGGAACTCACTATGTAGCCCAGACTGGCCTTGGACTCATAGACATATGCCTGCCTCTGCCTCCCAAGTGCTGGGGTTAAAGGTATTCACCATCACACCCAGCTTTTAAAAAAATTATTTTTAATTGTGTATATGCATGTGTCTGTGTGTGGGTATGTACATGTGCATGTGGATGCTTTACAGAGGTCCCCTGAAAGAGCAGTATGCTCATTAACTGCTGAGACATCTCTCCCGCCCCATCACTCCTTTTTAGTTTTTTTAAAAAAAATTTATTGTTTTTATTTTATGTGTATGAGTGTATTGCCTACATGTATGTGAGTGCACCCGTGTTGTGCATTGCTGAGGAGGTCAGAAGAGGGCTTCGTATTCCCCTGGAACTGGAGTTAAGGATGGTTCATAGCTGCCATGTGGGTGCTGGGAATCAAACCTGGGTCCTCTGCAAGAGCAGTCAGTGCTCTTAACCGCTGAGCCATCTCTCCAGCCCTAGATTTTTTTTTTTTAATTTTCAAAAATTGACTTTTTTCAAATTTCATTTAATAGAATACATTTTAATCATATTTTAATTCCCTCATCTATCTGACCCCCACCCAATTTCATGTACTCTAATATGTGTATAACTGTGCGTGCGAGCGTGCGTGCGTGCGTGCGTGTGTGTGTGTGTGTGTGTGTGTGTGTGTGTGTTGTATTAAGGCCTGTGGAGTCAAATTTGTGTCCCCAAATGCCCTTCAATGTGCATTCATCCTCTGGAGCCTGGTCAACCTTCCAAGAGTCTTAAGCCTTAAATGAGGCTGACTTTCCCCGTCCAGCAGCCAGTGCTTTCTTCAGGTAGTGTTGGGGTTTCTTTCTTTTTAGGTTTTTGAGACAAGGATTCATTATGTAGCCAAAACTGGCCTTGAATTTACAGTGATCTTCCTGCCTCAGTCTCCTAAATGTTTGGGATTATAGGTATGTACTACCATGTCTGGTTTCAGCTTTCTTAACTAATATTGCCTGCCTGGCCTTTCTGAGAACCTTTCCAGGCCCTGACTACATCTAGGCTGCTGCCGCTTCTCCTTGAACCTCATGGGTCTCATGGTGAAAGCAAGAGCATCCAGTTAGGTGGTTCCAACGTCTTTGCCAGACTAGTTCAGTAGAATGATCAAGAAAGCAGGAATAGCTAATCCCTCATCTCTGTCAGCATTTCTTTCTTTGTTTATAGTTGAGATAGGTTCTTACTGTGTAGCCCAGGCTGGCCTTAAACTTAAGGTGATCCTTCTGGCTCATCTTCCTGAATGCTGGGATTACAGATGTGAGCTACCATGTGTGGCACTGTTAGCATCTCTGTGGCTGTCAGATATTTGCAAATGCTTTGGGAAAGTACTGGGAGCTTACACTGTGTGAGTGATGTTGGTGGCTACAGCCCGCTTGGGGTATTACAATGCCATTGTGGTCTTAGTCTGTACAGGCCTCTGGAGGTTGATGGGTACATTTATCAGAAATGACAGAAATGATAAATGTAAGCTTGGCTGGGCTAAGCAGGATGGAACTCTGGCTTATGTATGTATCCAAGTTGTAACCTGCAGGCACTATAGACCTAGGTGCTCCAAAATTTTCCCTAAAGGATATTATCCTAAGAGGCTGCCTCTCTTTTTAAGGTTTTTTTTTTTTTTTTTTAATTTATTTTAATTTATTTTTATCTTTTTTTTTTTATTTCTTTGAGAAAGTCAGTGGGCTCATTATTACTTCTGGGGCATGGGGCTCAGGAGCTTTTAGTGGGTCAGGTCAAGCTTCCTCTTGATGGCCACAGGCTCCTGGTTGCACGTGATGGTGCTGGCTCTGCGGATGACTGCCATGCACAGGTCAGGACAGTACTTGTTCTTGTAGGTCATATGCATGATGCTGCTGAAGGTGGCCCGTGTGTTCTTGTTGATGGTGGGCCTCACATAGGTGGCTGGCTTTCACTGGCCTGATGACTTCATGACCACCACGACCCCTTTGCCATCAACTGTGGGCTCCACTCCTACCATCTTATGATGAATCAGCCAGTTATAGCGGAAGGAGTTTCAGGCCTTCAGATTATTAGGCTTGGTACTGTACATCTGTTTATTCCTCTTGGTCAGGAAACTGGAACAGTTATTCTTGACCATCCATTGCAGATGTGAAGACATAGTGGCTCCTCTCACTATAGCGGCTGGAGAAGGAAAGCTTGTTTGTTTATTGTGTGTGTGTATGTGTGTGTGCATGCCATGGTTTGCATGTGGTGGTCAGAGGACAACTTTTGGGAGTTGTCTTTCACCATGTGGGTCCTGGTGGTTAAACTCAGGTTCTCAGACTTGGTGGCAAGTGCCCTTACCCACTAACCCATCTCTCTGCCCTTGCCTCTCTTTCTCCTTTCTATTTCTCTGTTTGTTTCCTCTTCCTGCCTTGTTTTTTGGGCAGGATCTTTTCTTGTGTAGGTAAACAACAGTACCAGCAGCCTCAGGCTGACACCTTGGCACTGCTGGGTCCTCCTTCTTGACCAATTCTCAGCCCTGTCCATACCATGTCTCTGGGTTGGCTGATAGCTTAGCACCATGCTAGTCCTAGAGCTGGTAGCTAGGGACAATCCAAGTAGACAGAGTGAGGAAACTGTAATCATCCAGGGTTGCTGGGTGACAGAGACATGTGGCTAACATTAACTGGAGTTCTGATAGGAGGGCAGTGCCAGGAAGGCTGCCAACCAAGTTCAAGGAGGAGGGCTCAGAAGATGGCTCAGTGGGTAAAAGGTACTTGCCATGAAAACATGAGGACCTGAGTTTGGATCCCAGCACCCATATAAATGCTGGGTAGGTGTGATAACCCACTTGTAATCCCAGTGTTTGGGAGGTGGCGAGGATCCCCAGGACAAGCTGGCTAGCTAAGCTAGCCAAATTGATGAGCTCTGGGTCTAAGTGAGAGACCCTGCCTCAGCATATAAGGTGGAAATTGATTAAGGAAGACACTCAGTGCCAATCTATAGCTTCCTCATGCATGTGCACACATGTGTGCCCAGATGTATGCGTATACCACATACATATGCCAAAAGAAAGAAAGGGAAGAAAGAGAAGAAAGAAAAAGTAAAAAAAGGGAAGGGAGGCAGGACCAGCTGTTCAGGCCACAACACTGGCTGTAGACTCCTCTAGTGTTCTAAAATCAAGCTTTTGTCAGCTAGCCATCTGCTCCTAGCTACCTTTTATTTATATGAACAGTGACTCAATATGTTACCCAG